AAAAATCCCAAAATTGTTCATGATATTTTGTGTTCATGAGGTTCAAGGATGTTCAATTCGCTTCAGTACTTCCACGAACTATAATTCAGGTACTAGAAGATCCTTTTCAACAACAGCAAAGCAAAAAAACAAAAAAAAATAGTAGAAAAAAAAGAATGATAAAACCGAAATCAGGAGAAAAAATATCTACATCCCCACCGACAAACCACGAAACAAACAAACAATCAAGATAACAAAGACATGCAAATAAGCCACTTTGCACAAACAAAACAAACATCAAGATAACAAAGACAAAAAAAGCACTTTGCACAAACAATACACATTTCACGATAACAAAGACATGCAAACATCCCTACCGACAAACGAAACAAAAACAAACAATCAAGATAACAAAGACATGCAAATAAACCACTTTGCACAAACAAATACACATTTAACAAAGACAAGCAAACATCCCTAACAAACCACGAAACAAACAAACAATCAAGATAAAAAGACAGGCAAAAAAACCACTTTGCACAAACAAATATACATTTCACGATAACAAAGACAAGCAAAACATCCCACGACAAACCACGAAAAACAAACAATCAAGATAACAAAGACATGCAAATAACCACTTTGCACAAACAAAAACACATTTCACGATAAAAGACACGCAAACATCCCTACCGAAATCAGGAAAAAAAAATATCTACATCCCCACCGACAAACCACGAAACAAACAAACAATCAAGATAACAAAGACATGCAAATAAGCCACTTTGCACAAACAAATATACATTTCGCACAAGCTTCTCTCCCCGCGATGATGCCACAAAACTGCCGGTGCCTGGCTCTCCCACAGCTAGTCATGGTTGCAGAGGAGGTCGTCATAGTGCTCGCTCAACCGTGATATTGAGACGATAGTGATCCAAATTGCTCGCTGAATGAGGACAGTGATAATTTTTTGGGGGTGGTGGAGGAAGGGGGAGATATCTGTGACCTTTGACCTGTGATGACCTGTGATCTGTGGTGATTTGAGGGCTTCGTGAGGTAGGTTGGTGGGTTGGGATGTCTTGGTGAGGTGGTGTAGAGATTCGGTGATATGTGGTTGTGATTTTTTTTTTTTTTTTTCTTTTTTTTTCTTTGGTCTGAATCATTGACCTCGTGTCTTTACTCCTCCTCCTCCTCTTCCTCTTCATCCTACTTCCTTTCTTCCTCTGCTTCCGTGTCCCCCATCTCCTCCCCTGCTCCCCTCGCCATTCTTTTTACTTCTTCTCCTCCTCCTCCTCCTCTTCCTCCCTTCCTCCTCTCCTCCTCCTCTTCTCCTCCTCCTCCTCCTCCTCCCCTCCTACTTTTCACCCTCCTCCTTCTCCTCCTCCTCCTCCTCTCCTCCTCCTCCTCCTCCCCTCCTCCTCCTCCTCCTCCTCCTCCTCCTCCTCCTCCTCCTCCTCCTCCTCCTCCTCCCCCTCCTAATTAACCTCCACCTACCAACCTTTCTATTATCTCTTCCCTTCGTTATAACTGCCAGTCTTTAAAAAAATGCTCGTTATAACTGTAAGTGAAGGTAACGAGGTCGTAGCTCCATCTTCCAAGGGAGAGACGAGTTGAGGTGGATATTTCTCGAGGTCTTAGCGAGGTGGATACTTAGGGCGAGAGGTGGATATTTTTCTCGAAGTCTTGGCGAGGTGGAGAGGGCTGTGTGATGTGGATATTTCTCGAGGGCTTGGCGAGGTGGATACTTGCCGAGGTGAGGTGGGAGGTTGGCCTTCCTTGTGTGAAGGCTGTCTCGAGGTCTTGGCGAGGTGGATACTTCCTGAGGGCTGTGTGAAGTGGATATTTCGAGGGCTTGGCGAGGGGATACTTCCGAGGCTGTGTGACCTGGCCTTGAGCGAGGTGGATACTGGGCTGTGTGAAGTGGATAATTCTCGAGGTCTTGGCGAGGTGGATACGAGGCTCTTGGCGACTCGAGGTCAGAGGACTTGGCGAGGTGGATACTTGTGTCTCGAGGTCTTGGCCTTCCTGAGGGCTGTGCTTTCTTTCTGGAGCTGAGGCCTCCGAGGGCTCTTTGGCGCCCTGAGGGCTGTGTGCCCGAGGCTTGGCGAGTGGATAATGAGGAGGTGGATACTTGCCGAGATATCATCCATCCCCGCAGGACAACCTGCAACGGCCGTTCGCAGCCCGGAAGCAGTTGAGACGAAGGCCGGGGGGGGGGGGCGAATCTCATCGGCAGAGAGGTCGGGCAGTTTTCCGTACAAGGAGGGACGTTCGTGTAGAGGAGGACGGGATTTGTCTGGATATCTGAAGGGATTCCCGGGTTATCTGTGGCTTGAGGGAGGAATCTCGATGTTGTAGGGTATCTGGCTTGAAGGAGGAGGAGTATGGGTGCTGTGGAGTGCCTGTGACTTGATGGAGGAATCCTTATGTTGTAGAGGATCTGGCTTGAAGGAGAGGAATATACGTGGAGTGTCTGTGACTTAAAGGAGGAGGATAAGGGTGGGGGGGGGAGTCTGAATATAAGGAGGAATATTCTGTGGCTTAAAGGAAGAGGAATATTTACGTTGTGGAGTATGTCTTCAAGGAGGAGTAGTCGTGTTGTGGTAGGATGAAAGGTCTTCAAAGGCTGAGAAACATTCATATAAAGGCACCTAGAAAGAGGTAAAGAGGAGGAAAAAAAGAGAAGAGTGGTTAGCAACGAAGACCCAGAGCGCTGACCACAGACAAGGAGGTCGACGTCGAGAAGGAAAACCCAAGAAAACTCCTCTCGGGAGAACGACAGGACTCAAGACCTCAGAGCTGGTGTCACGGCCGCGATGAGTGAAGCTTTATAAAGAACGATCACTTTTACCTTCTCGAGCGCCCGCGTTTGGCTGTCGAGTGCTGGGGACTCTCGAGAACCCAAGGTACATTACCCAGGCGCGTGGAGATCTCCGTCACGCAACGCTACGTGGACATTCCTGCTGCCTACGTCACCGCTGCGTGCGTTCCTCTGTGAAGTCACCGTCGCTCGCTTCGAATCTACTCTCGTCGACAGTGTCAGATTCGAGAATGCAGAGGGATTCCGTATGTGAATCCTGGACTGCTTTTGCGTTGCGGTTTCTCTCAAACGTGTCATTTGCGTCTGTCGAATGGTGTCATTTAAGACTCCTGTTGCAAATTGAGATCTCTTCTTTTTAACCTTTTCCTGTGGGTACGATAAAGGCTATAATTCCTTGCTGCGAGATGCTAATATATTGCTTTTCTTCTTTCTTTCTTTCTTTCTTTCTTTTTCTTTTTTTTAACACGATCTGAGACAGAAATAAGGGACGAGCTTACGAGGTCAGGATTCGGCCGAGGGAGGCTAATCAGCATGCAGCATTGTGTGGGAGCCACTTCCCGATGCTGGCCATGTCGCCGCAATTCGGGTTACTCCTCTTGCCAGCTCACTCTCTCTCCTCTCTCTCTTTCTCTCTCCTTGACTGTCTGTCTGTCAATCTCTCTCTCTCTATCTATCTATCTATCTATCTATCTATCTATCTCCTCTCTTCTCTCTCTCTCTCTCTCTCTCTCTCTCTCTCTCTCTCTCTCTCTCTCTCTCTCTCTCTCTCTCTCTCTCTATCTATCTACTATCTATCTATCTCCACTCTCTATCTCTCTCTATATATATCTCTATCTCTCTCCCCTCCTTCCTCTCTCCCTCCTTCCCTCCTCCCTCCTCCTCTCTTCCTCTCTTCCTCTCCCTCTCTCCCGGGTCTTTGTTCTTCCCTCTCTCTTTCACACTCTTCTGCTAACACCTTAATTACACCTCTAGTCCTGTCTTCTTCTCGAGTCGTCGGATTTGGGGTTAGCATCTGGGTGTAGAATGGCAGGTGTAAAAGCACTTTCGATCGTATGAATTGTCTTTTTTAAGGGGGTATATCATAATTATTACTTTTGTTTTTTTTCGTCGTATTTTTAAGGGGCTATATCATAATTATTACTTTTGTTTTTGCTTGTTTTTTTCGTTTTTTTAAGGTGTCATAATTATTACTTTTGGTTTTGTTTTTGTCGTATTTTTTAAGGGGGTTTTATCATACTGATTACTTTTGTTTTGGTTTTTGCCGTAATTGTTTTTAAGGGGGTATATATAGTACTTCTTTTTTGGTTGTTTGTTGATCACATTTTTTTTTTCCTTTTTTCGCCTCCATCATCATCATGCATACGACTTTTGTTTTGTTTGTTGACCGTAATTGTTTTTTAGGGGTGCATATCATACACATTACTTTTGTTTGCTTGTTTGTGATTATATATATATGTGTGTGTGTGTTTGTGTATGTATGTATGTAGTATTTATATTTAGGAGGCATAACATACGTACTACATTGGTTTGTTTGTCATCTTCAGCACCTCCACCCCATCCATATCATAATGCCCCCCCCCCCTGTTTTCATCCCCGTGGCCAGCATTCTCAGCATGACCACCAAGGCCATGCGCGCGACATCATAATCCATCACATGACGTCCCGACCTCCTTTCCTAAGCGCCCCTTTCCCCCCTCCTTCCCCCCTAAGTCCCTCCCTTAAATCCTCATTTCCTGAGTCCTCCCTCCACGATCCCTCCTCCTGAAAGCCCTCCCTTAAATCCTCATTTCCTGAGTCCTCCCTTAAAACCTCCTCTCCTTAAACCCTCTTGCCCAAAGCCCTCCTTAAACCCTCCCTCCCTTTAGCCCTCCCTTAAACCCTCCTCCCCCTCACCCCGCCCCCCCCCCCCAAGACAAGACAAGCCACCCCCTTAACGCCTCCCACCCCCCTCTTACCAGCTGTCAACGCCTCCATTATCTCCCTCCTTCCAGCTGTTAACGCCTACCACCTCCCTCTTCCAGCTGTTAACGTCTCCACCTCCCTTTTACCAGCTGTAAACACCCCCATCATCTCCCTCTTCCCATCTGTAAACACCCCCATCTCCCTCTCCTCCACCCCCCATCTCCCTCTTTACCACCTGCCAACACCCTCCCACCCTCCTCTTACCAGCTGTTAACGCCCCCCATCTCCCTCTTTCCAGCTGTGGACTTGGCCGCGAGTTCGAACGTCCAGGATGCGTTCGTCATCGCCGTGGAACAGCAAGCCAGGGAGCGGCTCGAACGGCTCTCAGCTCTCAAGAAGATCAAGCCGGTGGACATGACCAAGCTCTCGTCGCAGGTAAAGGTCCGATCGGCTGCTTCGTCTGTTTCTTTTAATGGGGGGAGGGGAGGGAGGGAGAAGAGGGAGGGGGAGGGGTATGTTAGAAGTAGATTTTTTAAAGGATTTTTTAAGGATTTTTTGAAAGATTTGGTTTTGAGTTGAAGATTCGTACGTGTTTCTTAAGGGTGGGAGGGAGGGGGATGTTAGAGGTAGATTTTTTTAAAGGATTTTTTAAGGATTTAAAGATTTGGTTTTGAGTTGAAGATTCGTACGTGGGAGGGAGGGGGAGGGGTATGTTAGAGGTAGATTTTTTAAGTTATTAAGATTTGGTTTTAAGTTAATGATTTTTTTTATAGTTTTAGTTTGAAGTTAAAGAATTTTCAAAGATTTAGTTTTGTCAAAGATTTTTTAAAGATTTAGTTTTAAGTCAAAGATTTTTTAAAGATTTAGATTTAAGTCCATTGTTGCGATGGATATTCTTGCTGTGAATACTGTCTGTTTTATTTTGCCCAATCTCCAGCTGTATGCAAGGGATGGCCGGGGTTGCCATCCCTGGCCGCGCGTGGGATTGCAAGATTGCAAGACCAACATATGAGGGTTTAGTGAATTTAGGAAGGAAGGGATTAAGGAGGGAATGGGGGAAGGAGGGATAAAGGAGGAATGGGGAGGAGGGATTTAAGGGAGGGAAGGGGGAAGGAGGATTAAGGGAGGGATGGGAAGGAGGGATTAAGGGAGGATGGGGGAAGAGGATTAAGGGAGGGAATGGGAAGGAGGATTAAGGGATGGGGGAAGGAGATTAAGGGAGGGAATGGGGAAGGAGGATTAAGGGGGGCATGGAAGGGGATTAAGGGAGGGCATGGGGGAAGGAAGGATTAAGGAGGAATGGTGGAAGGGGAATTAAGGAGGAGGGGAAGGAGGGTTAAGGGAGGGAATGGGGGGAAGGAGGGATTAAAGGGAGGAAATGGGGGAAGGAATGTGCCTCATCTATGCCTATATCTGTATGTCTGTGCCTATGTCTATGCCCACATCTATGCCTATATCTATGTCTACGCTTATGCCTTCATTAATGCTGCGTCTATGCATACGTCAAGGTGCTAGAAGAATATATTAGATCCGTCTAGAAGGTTATGCTTATTTCTATGCCTGCGGACTTTCCCGATGCCTCCCTCGCGTCTCATAGGCATGAGGAATTTGTAAACTCAAATCCCGTAAGCCTTGCCTATGCCTATGCCGCGACTTTTAAGGCATGAAGCATCTATAACGATTTTTTTTTTCAAAGTCTATAGGCCGTATGCCTATGCCCGGAGGCTCAGGTTGGGGGGGGGTATGGTTCACCGAGGGCATTTGGCGAGGGGAAGAAGTGAGAAATATTGGCCGATTGTTCTTTATTTATGATTTTTTTTTTTTTTTTTTTTTTTTTTTTTTTTTTTTTTTTTTTTTTTTTTTTTTTTTTTTTTTTTTTGATTGGAGGGAATGGCGAGCTACTGAGTTGTGAATCATACTGAGTTTCTTTGGTGTTAAGGGAAATGTGTCGAGAAATTGTGTAGCAGGTGTAAATATATAGATAGATAGATAGATAGATAGATAGATAGATATAGATATAATATATAGATATGAATAGATAGATAGATAGGTATAGATAGATAGATAGGTATAATAGATATGATAGATATAGATAGGTGATAGGTAGGTAGATAGATATAGGTAGATAGTAGGTAGGATAGATAGGTAGATGAAAAATTGGTATATAGAGAATAGGTATAAATATAATAAATATAATAATAATTAATAGATAGATTGATAGGTAAAGAAATGTATTAATAGATCGAAAGATATATAGATGTAGATATATATTAATAAATAGATACTGATAAGATGATAGATATAGACAGATAGACATATTTAGAATTAACCAAATTTAGGTACGGCTTTTAATTACCGTTTTCTGTTTTACGGTTTTCAAGTGTGACTTAAATAAGAAAGTATTAAATTAAAATATAAAGTGTTCACTATTCACTTATTCACGAGATAGATGACGTAAGATTGAGAAGTGAATGTGAGCGAAGGAGTAAAAGGTCAGATATTGTAAGTTGTATTTTCTTCAAGGCTCTGAGTCGTGCAAAATTTTTTTTTATAGCTTTCTATTTTCGTCTTTATGTGAATATAAGGCGTTTTTTTTTTTTTTTTTTTTTTTTTTTTTTTTTTTTTTTTTTTTTTTTTGCATGTGATAGTGTGTGAAATTTTATGGAGTTGATTGGAATTTTATTAAAACTTACCATTAGTAATAGGTTTCTTTCGTGGGAAAGGGTGAAAGAAATTAGGAGTTTTTGGTGAATATCTTAAATTTTAGAATAGTATCCCCTGCTTACAATTAAAATCAAAAATCATATCTACCGAAAAAAATATAATGATATAAAAGATTAAAAATATAATCATAATCATTCATTAATCTCCACGATGATAAGACGCCACAAAGTTAGTTAATTATGCGAAATCCAGCCTTATGACCATGGTGTAGAAAGGTAAGAACGAGAATGAATATCTTGACAATACAAGAGATGTATTTCACCGGTTTCGAATACGTCTTCGTCAGAAATACGTGAATATTATAAAGTTATTCGTTCCCATTCATGCCTTTATATACGATTCTAAATACGATTGAGACGATACGATATACGATACGATAAATAAATACGATTAATACGATACGATATACGATTCTAAATACGATACGATAAATAAATACGATTACGATACGATATACGATAATACGATTAATACGATACGATATACGATTCTGATTACGATTAATACATGAATAATACGATAAATACGATTAATACGATATACGATTCTGATTACGATTAATACATAAATAATACGATAGATACGATTAATACGATACATAACTTTCTACTGTATGTTCTCCAAGTTGTCAATAATTTACCAGTGCGAATATAATTCCCTTGTTTATATTTATCTATTTTATAGGAATTCATGATCTCTTTAGTGTGTTTTTATTCGATTAATGATTTTTTATAATAATCATTTATATAAATCATTTAAAAAGTATTTTAAATATAATTTAAAAAAATATTTTGTTTTCATAAAAGTGTATTTCAAAAAGGAAAGATTGATTTATAAAAAAGAAACAGATTTTCCCCATCATCCTGTATGTTATTAATTATTTATTCACACTAATTATTTATATCAGCTCATTAAAATGTATATGAATTAAGCATTCATGTAATTATGATAAAAAGAACCTTAAATTATGATAATAAAAAAATATATATATTGCTTAGTTATTTATTGATATTGATATTAAGCATTCATGTAATATCAATTTAAAAACGAACAAAACCTTAAGAAACTAACAATAAAATGAAAAAAGATAAAGATTAAAAAAAGACCGCCACGCTCTAGAGACTAAAGCAATAGTTCGTTGTAAAGTCACGGCCAAAGCACCAATAGGCTGGACATGGCAGAGAGAGAGAGAGAGAGAGAGAGAGAGAGAGAGAGAGAGAGAGAGAGAGAGAGAGAGAGAGAGAGAGAGAGAGAGAGAGAGAGAGAGAGAGAGAGAGAGAGAAGAGAGAGAGAGAGAGAGAGAAGAGAGAGAGAGAGAGAGAGAGAGGGGAGAGAGAGAGAGGAGAGAGAGAAGAGAGAGAGAAAGAAAAAGAAAGAAAGAAAAAATAAAGAGAGAGAGAGAGAAAGGAGGATAGATAGAAAGAAAGCCAGAGAGAGAGAGAAAGAAAGAGAGACAGAGAGAGAAAGAGAGAAAGAAAGAGACAGAGAGAGACAGACAGACAGACAGAAAAGAGAAGAGAGAGAAAAAGGAAGAGAGAGGAAGAGAGAGAGAGAGAGAATGAAGGCCGAGGTTTTATTGACATTCGGAAGACAAGGAAAGGGGACAAAAATACCCGAGGGGCATTTGTCCGGGGGAGGTTGGGGAAGGTTGGAGGTCAGGATGGGGAAGGAAGGGAGGGAGGGAGGAAGGAAGGGTAACGGAGAGGGTAGGGGAAGGGAGGGTAGGAGTGGGAGAGAGAGGGAGGGGAGGGGGAAAGGGATTAGGGGAGGGAGAGGGGGGAGAGGAAAGGAGGGAAAGGAAGAGAGAGGAGAGAGGAGGTAGGAGTGGGGGAGGGGGAAGGAGGGGGCAGGGAAGGGGAGAAGAGAGGGAAGGGAAGAGTGGGAGAAGGTAAGGAAGGAAGGGGAGGGGGGAGAAGAGAGGGGAAAGGAGGGGGGAGGGGAGAGAGGGAGGGGTAGGAGTGGGGAAGAGAAGAGAGGGATAGAGTGGGGAGAGGGAAGGGGGAAGGAAGGGATAGTTGAGGGAGGGGGTAGGGGGTAGGAGAAGAGAGGAGTTCGAGGGAAGGAGAGGTGAGAGAGGGAGATAGGGGATGGATAGGAAGAGAGAGATAGGACAGGTAGAGTAGGAGTAGGAATAAGAATAAGAGTAAGAGTAAAATTAATAAAAAAAAAAGAGAAAAGAAGAAGGTGAGAAGGAGGATAAACAAGAATAAAAGAAAGAAGAATAAAAATACCTAGGTAGTAATACGGGCCATGGGATCGACTGCTTATACGCCTCGAGGAACCACAAAAATAACCTCTCTTAAATGAATTCCAAGAAGACATATTTTAGGGGTGAATCTTACTCTACCCCCTACCCACCCCCCACATATGTCTTAACCCCCACCCCGCCCCACCCTCCTGTCTCCATAGGGACTAAATCTTCAAGACAGCTTACCGCCCCATCGCAAGCTTAATGCCGGGGAGAGGGAGAGGGAGAAGAGAAGGGAGAGGGAGAAAGATTGGGAGAGGGGAGAGGGTGAAAGAATAGGGAGAGGGTGAGAGATAGGAAATTGGGAGAGGGAGAGGTAGAGGAAAGAGAGATTAGGAGAGTGGGAGAGGGAGTGGAGAGGGTGAGGAGAGGGAGGGTGAGGGTGAGAGAGAGAGAGAGAGGAGAGAGAGAGAGAGAGAGAGAGAGAGAGAGAGAGAGAGAGAGAAGAGAGAGAAGAGAGAGA